AGTTCCATGTCCTTGAACTGGGGAGCCCAGAACTGGGCATAATGCTCCAGGTACAGCCTCACCAGAGCAGAGTAGGAGTGGAGAACCTTCTTCAACCTCCTGGCAACGTTCTTTTTAGTGCACTCCAGGAATACAGCAGTAGCATCTTTCTTAAAATCCTCCTCTAACTAAAAGTTAAAAAAACTGTGAGTTATAAAATACAAGCTATATAAAAATAAAGCAACTAAAACCATAAATCTCTTAGCATATTGCAGTATTGAATAAATAACAGAGTTTTCTCTGCAAATGCATTACCATGGATTTACGGAAGCCAGGGTTATTTCTTTGCCAGAAGAGAAACATGTGGATGCAAATAAAGGACACTCAGTCTTCATTGCCCTTACTTCCATTTACTTTGTTGATGAAGAATGTTAAAAGGCAGAGACAAGAGTTTATAGATCATGGGCTTTTGCTTTCAGAGGTACAACAGAAGCTAGCTGAAGCACTTCTAGGTTGCCTTTAAGGCTGCAAGGGGCCAGGAAGGGCCTCCCACATGTCAGTCCTTACCTTTGGCTAATGCTACATAGGGAAAGTAATTTTAATTTCTCTGATAACTCACTGATGCGCTTACTGAAACTGCTTGTTTGGGTTACTGGAGACACTGAATGCTGCTGGTAGTGAGTTAATTTTGTTTATCTAGAATCCGATTGTATTTTCATATAAATCAAGTGATACTGCTCTGACATTAATAGAATGGGATTTTTTTAATATTCTTTCAGAATAAATCTAAATAAACAATGTAACATATAGTTACTACTTACTATGTATGTTTTTTTTTTTTCTTTTCCTAGTAAAAAACAATATTAAAAAATCCAATTCGTGCAGGCTATGGCAAACAGCCCCTGGTTGAAGTGAAAACCAGCATGCTGTCACACAGCTTTGCCAGGCCAGGGCATTTATGCTCTGTTGTGATATTCCCCATACAGCTCCCACCTCAGGGCTGTAACAAGCAGTTTCAACGTTTACCATGGAGAGAACATAAGCTCCAATAGCAGAGTTAGCTGGACCCCTCAGCAGGTGCCTGCTGAGACTAACTTTACTGGGCTCCAGGGAAAGCAGCCACCACAGAGTCCTTCCTGACAAAGAGAAAAATAAGCTTTCAATCTACTTCTTCAGCTCCAAAGTGAAAGAAAAATATTGCTTGCAGAATGCCTAAATCTAGACCCAGTGATCTTTTGACCACTCCCCTGCTCCTGGATAGGTGTCCTGAAGAGAAAACTGCACAAAACTTTGCTTCTAATATACCTGCGTGCAAGGCTTCCACTACATTTCTTTTCTGAAAGAAGAATGTATTTCTCTCAAAGACAAGACACATAGGAAGGAAGAGGAAGGAAGGCATTTTGTATTATAAATGTGTTTCTCCCTTTTATGAAGAGAGAAAGCAAGTATTTTGAAGTCAACAGTTATGAGTGATAGCTCTTAAGAATCTTCAACTCTGCTTCAGTAATAACAGAAGTTATATTGATAGTAATGGAATGTTTTTAGAGTGTGAAAAAATCTGTAAACATCAGAAGACAGATGCTTTTGAAGCAACTAAAAGCAATATTTCAGACTCTTAGTAGAAGCTCAGACTTTTTTTGTTAAGTCAATTTTAAAGGTTTATTCTCTGATTTTTATTTTATTTTATTTTTTTTTCAGCTGGATGCTGGTTAGTTTTTTGCCTTTCGAATGGTTATTTATTTCTCTGCCTGGTTTCTTGAAGCACCAGCATACGAACATCTGAATTCCAGTAGGCAGATGTATATCAATGGTTGGAGTTACTAATTTCCCTACGCAGTGCAGCCACTTGTAACCCACTGCCATATGGCTTGTTTCTCTCCTCAACTTCTGTGCACACTTTCATACATATAAATACACACGACAGTCAATTTATTTAAAATATACCCTCTTTCTGTGAATGTTTTTCTCAGTTGGCACCATTCATACATCTGTTTTCTCTCAAGTATTTTAATGGGGAAAAAAACCACCACCACCACCAACAAAAAAACCCAGCAGGGCCCAACAACAACGTGGCAGCCAGGAAGGAAAGCAGTGCTGCCTCCCACCAGGATCATGGCTGCCCACAGGTGAGAGCACTAGAGTTTCAGGCAACATGGGGGACACAGAAGCACTGCTGCCCATCTGTTCTTAACTACAGGAATTCTGCAGTGCCACTTGAGAGAGACAGACAAAGCTTTGGAGGGGGCTGTCCCAGTCTGCTCTGCACTGTGCAGCTTCACCTTGGGCACTGTGTGCAGTTTTGGATATCACAATACGAGGACATAAAAGTCAGTTAGCAAGTCCATTTATTTTTCCTACCATAGAAAATCGAGATTTATTAACATTAAAGAACTGAGCTGGAGCACTCAAAGCCACGTAGACGTGAAGTTTTGTGGTAAGTAGCTCCCTTAGCTTCAGCACTGGAGACCTTCCAATGTTTTAAACATGGAGCTGGTGCCATAAAAACAGACATGGTAAACCCATTCAAATGTGCTGAATTCACTTTTTTTCTTTTTTTCTTTTTTTCTTTTTTTCTTTTTTAACTTTTTGATTGATTGTATATCGAGGAGGTAAAACAACTTACATGCCACTATTTTTATGAGACATGAACAGAGCAAACAACCGATGTATTGACATCCCCATGGCATTAGGGTTCAAACTTTGAGGAATGTAACCATAAGAGACTGTAATACAGTGCTACTCTCTTCTCCCTCCTCCTGAGCAGCACAATGGTTGGGGGTTGCAGTCAGGGTGTAACACTTTCATCTCTGTCTCTTCCTCCTCAGTCACTTACTCTGCCTAGTATGAGGTCCCTCCCACAGGATGTCACAGAAGCACAGAATCACCAAGGTTGTAAAAGACCTTCAAGAACATCCAGTCCAACCATCCACCTATCACCAGTAGTACTCACTAAACCATGTCCCTCAAAACAAAATCTAACCGTTCCTTGAACACCTCCAGGGTCAGTGACTCCACCACCTCCCTGGGCAACCCATTCCAGTGCCTGACCACTCTTTCAGAGAAGTAGTATTTCCTAATGTCCAGCCTGAATCTCCCCTGGCGCAGCTTGAAGCCATTCCCTCTAGTCTCATCACCAGTTACATGAGAGAAGAGCCCGACCCCCAGCTCGCTACAACCTCCCTTCAGGTAGTTATAGAGAGCAATAAGGTCTCCCCTGAGCCTCCTCTTCTCCAGACTGAACAATCCCAGCTCCTTCAGCCACTCCTCATAAGGCCTGTGCTCCAGACCCCTCACCAGCTTTGTTGCCCTTCTTTGAACACGCTCCAGGGCCTCAATGTCTTTCTTGCAGTGAAGGGCCCAAAACTGGACACAGTACTCGAGGTGTGACCTCACCAGAGCTGAGTACAGGGGGCAATCACTTCCCTGTTCCTGCTGGTAACACTGTTCCTGATGCAAGCCAAGATGCCATTGGCCTTCTTGGTCACCTGGGCACATTACTGGCTCATGTTCAGCCGAGCATCAATCAATACCCCCAGGTCCATTTCCTGTAAACAGTCGCCCAGCCGCTCCGCCCGAAGCCTGTATTGTTGCCTGGAGTTGTTGTGACCAAAATACAGGACCCAGAATTTGATCTTGTTGAACCTCATTCCATTGGCTTCAGCCCAGCTATTCAGCCTGTCCAGATCTCTCCGTAGGGCCTCACTACCCCCAAGCAGATCAACACTTCCAGCCAACTTGGTGTCATCTGCAAACTTACTGAGTGTGCACTCAATGCCCTCATCCAGGTCATCAATAAAGATATTGAAGAGGACAGGCTTCAGCATCGACCCTTGGGGAACACCACTCATGACCAGTCGCCAGCTAGATTTAGCTCCATTCACTGCCACTCTCTGGGTCCGGCCCTCCAGCCTGTTCCTTATCCAGTCAAGAGCGTACCCATCCATGCCACGGGCTGTTAGCTTCTGCAGGAGAATACTGTGGGAGATCATGTCAAAGGCCTTGCTGAAGTCTCGGTAGACTACATCAACAGCCTTTCCCTCATCTACCAGACGGGTCACTGGATCATAGAAGATCATAGAATGACTAGGTCATGTCATCCTTCCTGAATTGATCCTTCCTAGAGGCTGGCTGCAGTTCTTTAAGCACTGCTCCAATGTGAGTCCATACCACAGGGTCCATCCTTCAGTAGCAGACTGCTCCAGCACAGGTCCTCACAGGTGGCAGCTCCCTCAGCCCTCCTACCTCACCATGGGCTCCTCCAGGGGCTGCATCTCCTTCAGGCCACATCCATTGCTGCACCACCAACTCCTGCATGGCTGCGCATAGAAATCAGCTGTGTGATGCCTGTGCGGTGCAGAGGGACAGCCAGCTCTGCAGAGGGACATGGGCCTTTCCTGGGCTGCAGGGACATTCTATTTCATTCCTGGAGCACCTCCTGCTCTGCTCCTGCACTGATACTGGGAGCTGGCAGGGCTGTTGCTCCCACATTTCTCAATCCTCTCTCCTAGCTGCTGTTGCAGAGCATATTTCTCATTCTTAAATCTGGTCTCACAAAGGCACAACCAGCATCACTCACAGCTCAAGCTTTGGCCAGCATAACGATAGCGGAAAATGTAAACTGACAGAAAGGAAGGAAATTCAGAAGTTATAGTGATAATAATGGCCATCATTGAAACAAAGCACAGCAAACTGAAAAAAATAATATATATATAAGCTTCAATTTCATCTGCTACTCTCTCAGCATCTGTTGTTTCATTAATGAAGAGCCACTTTCTCAGGTAACACATGTACAGACCAAACCCTTCTTACTCTTCACTCTCCGCCCTTGGGTTGAGGTTGGATGTGCAAATCAGTTCAGTTTAGAAATATCTATCCAGATATCTCAACAGAAAACTCCTTAGCATAATCAGTATTATTTTAAGGAACAGCTTATTTCTATTTCTCTGTTTTGTTTCAATAGCATAGGAAAGATGAGCATTTGAAATAAATAGAAATCCTTTACAACAATTTAAAAACTTTTATTATTAAATTTGATATTTTTTCATTTAAACTTGTAGAAGTATACATGATACATTCCAAATACACAGCCAACCAAGTGAAACACTGCAAAAGTACATTGAAATAAATAATGCACGTTTTTAATAGTCCAATAGTTTCTCAGAAATTTCGTAAACAAATTGTGATTGGGACATCTCAGAAAGCACCATCTTAAAATGTAGGATTTTACTTCTTGAATTTTTACCAAAAAAAAAAGAAGAATGGTTCTCAGAAAACTGTGTCTTAAATATCCCCATTCTTTACTTTGTATATGCCTACAATAATATGCTAAACAAATAAGCCTTAAAATTAACTGAACACAGAAAAGGAAATGCTGATAGTAAGCATCTCCCTGTGGCTTGCAGCCATTTAATTATAGCAGCTTGCTGTGCAACAGCATGCAAGGTTGCTCAAGGCAGAAAACCTTTTACTATGTCCTTAACTCACAGAGAAAGTGAAATAAAAGAGACTGACATATCCTTTCTGAGAACACCATAATCATGAACACACGAGCAACATGGAACATGAGATGAACCTCTCCCCATGTTCAGTTGTTCCCATGAGAAATCCCCTGAAATGGACACATTGGGGAAGCATATATTTAGTCATTACCGATTATAACACAGTCTGAGAAGAGCTGATTATTTTACTTGACTTTGTTTCAGCTGTTCCAGAAGACAACAGAACTATGTTTCCAGATATGTATGCCACATCAAGAAGGAATTTCATAAAGACCTGAAATTCTCATCTATACTCAGGTTACTAAGTAATGTTCATATAAATCTCAATGCACTTATTTTATGCTGGAAAGTAATCAGCTGCATGATTTCTACCATGTCTGTTTGGCGTTATTACTCAACATGAAATTTAGTCGCAAAAGTTATGAAACAGTCATACATTCACTGAGGCTTTTTAACAAGTATTTCCAAGACAGTTTAAACAAAAATGCATGAGAAGTGAAAGTTTGCAGTTGGAATCCGTTTTAACATACCCAGGTAACAAAAAACTTTTCACAAATGAATATACAAAATAACAATGACATAAAATGGAGAAAAATCAGGCTCCTGGAAAGCTGATTTTGGAGGGTTTTTCTTTTATTTTTCTTCTGCACGACAACTGCTCATCTCCCTCCTGGAGAGGAGGTGGAATTCTCAAAACTGACCCTTTTTGGTTTAATTCTATTGACACTATCACTTTAAAATAAGAAAGAAATATTCAAGAACAGTTTTTCAACAAAATTATCCATTCCTGTTTGGTAAAAAGCAACTTTAAAGCATCTTCATGGTCTGTGCACTCTAGCATTGGACACATACCACATTTGGACTTAAACATTGGGTACAGAATAGTTAAGAAATGACATTATTTGTGGTAGTATCTAAGGCAGCAGCTGAACCTTCGAGTTTCCCATCTCAAGTTACAATTCAGGTGCATTTTCCGTTAGCTATTTTCTAATTTCAAATTATTCATTTAAGTACACCTTGAAATGAAAATGACACATTGAATGGTACGAATCAAAGTCTTACTGTATTCTTAATCATATCAACACCAGCAACTGAATGCATTCACTCCTATTCAGTTTAAAGAAAATTTTACTGGTAGTTATTTCAGCATCTCTTAAAATGTGAATAGATTCCATTACAAACATGTGTAAGTCACAGAATTTTACACTATCATTTTGGATATACAATAAAATTATTCCACTTGAGTTAAACTATTTTTTGGCCAACAGTATGTGAATTTGGATTTTTTTTTTAATCACACACAATTCCTTACATTGCACACTTTATGTTTGTAACACAAGTCTGTATTTTCTTTATCTGATGACTGTTTTCAAAGGTAAAACTATTGGTTAAAATCAGAAGTGAGATCTTAAATTTCAGAAGTCCAGCAAGTGGTCACTGGAAAAAGAAATGCATAAATCTATTCTCTTATGCAAGCAGCAGTCTCTAGAAAGCTGCTAGCAGGCAAGGCATTGTTATTTGTCTCCAAAAAAGCTTAGCTTATGAACAGTGAAGATGAAAAACTCTCACTGACTTACAGATAAGTTCTAATGGAAAAAATCTGTTTCCCCTGTAAAGTATCTCTTTTTTAAACTTCAGCAAAATGTACTGAACTCCTCAGATTATTTACCTGGCCATTTCTTTAACAAATAAACATAAACTACAGCAAAAGATACTAATTAATTTCCAGCATTCACTTTTATCAAAAACAAGGTTTTTGTTGTGAGAACAAATAATCTTTCATTTGTAGCTTGAAAGCCTAAGATTGGATCGCTGGCTTCCAGAGTAGTTACTAGCTGCTTAGCAACCTGTCCTACTTGTCTTCCTTCCTTCCTATTGTAGAGAACTGTTGACAGAGGAGTTGGCTGGCGATAGATGAAAATTCGCCGCAAGCACTCGCAAAGAGCAGCATAGGAGTAGTCTGGGGCACAAGCCATGAACTTCTTGTCTTGTTTTGATGCTTGAACATAACCTGCACAGCCCAGAAAGATAGACAGAAAGAGAAATGTAATATACTGACCTCATTAACACTTTAAATGGCTGTCAAAATCAAGCTTAGCTTCAAAAATAACAGGCAATTACTAAGAAAATTTTGAATTTGAGACTAAAACAGGATTGGTAACACACAAGTGATTTGTCTACAGCCAAGCCGTGCTTGCACTGTCATCTTTTTCCAACTCTTTGCCCCACACATCTAATTGGTGCATAAGAACTTGAGATGGATCAACTATCTCAAAATGATCCATAGAGAGGCTCCTTCAACAAACTGCAGTAACAAGGGGCAAGATCAAACAGTGCTCCTTCAAACTGTACTAGATGATTGGAATTTACTTGTAATCAGCCAAATGTCTATTCAAACCTTACTCCCTTTTCTAGAGAAAGTTGACAGAACAGATATCTGGAGCAAAAAAATCCTTGATCCTTTAGGTTTCCCTTTGATTCCTTCTTAAGTTTCTGTCCAAATCTTGGACTGAGAAAATAAAATTAAAAAGAAAATCATTCATGTTCTTTGCATTGCTAATTAAAAATCAATTCCGAAAATCGAAAAAAATAAAACAGAAAAGAGCACTAGTATTGTTGTTTTGGCCACTACAATTAATAATGTAGGTTTTGGAATTTTAACATAGAAAATATTCATTTTTACTATTAGATCTTGCAGAGCACTTCAAAATTTGGTTGCAGATAAACAAGCTGATAGTTTACATCATCTTTGGCATATAAGAGGCAAACTAGGTTAGTACAAAGTAATCCAGTTAGTAAACTTCAATATAATACAGAAGAATGACTGTAAATAGGGATAAAGATGTAAATAAACTTTAAAAAAAAAAACACCATAGGTACAAAAAGCTCAAATATATGATTATTTTCAAAACAATAGAAAAACGTCATGAAAACATTACTTAAAATTCTGCATAGAAACTTGAAACAAGCAATACTATGAAAAAAACTAAAACCTTAGTCCCTATCATCTACTATTTTCCAGTATAATTAAATTCAAAACAATTAAACAAAGAAAAACTGTGAAATTAATCTCTTCTATTAGAAAACTAAAATATTTAGAGCTTAATGTGGCTTTAAGTGAAAATAACATGCTACTTTTAAAAATTGTTCATATATAAAACAAAATGCATTGCAAAAAATCCAGAACAAATCCAATTATCCAATTAAACAGCTTATCTTCCCTTTAGTTTTAGATGCAGGCCAACAATGATGAGGTAAAAAAAATGCATTTAGGGGATGGAGGAAACTAAATGGCACACTCATGACATTATTAAAAGAATAGGTCAAGACCACACCTAGAGAAGATGAAGACTGTAGTTGTCACAGCAGACAAATTCTGCGCTGGATTAATTTAAATGAAATTTGATTATCTCCATTACTTAATAGGTACAGCACAGGGGCAGCAGACTATTTTGCTTTCTCTGATGCAGCAATTATTACTCTTGTATCTATATATATTCAGTATTTTCTGCTTTTGAGCTTATTATTTCTGCTTCCAACAATGTCTGAAACAAAATTCCTAAGCGTGAGTGCAAGGACTTATCAACCAAGACAATGACATGGGAAAATTCTATTGACCACTTACCATAAGCACATACAAAGCTAGACGTATCATCAATGAACTGATGCTGTTTCCCTGATTATTTCTGTGTCTAAGGTGCTGACTGTTCTTTTACAAATCCTTAAATCTGCATCATTTATCCAAGGAGATCTCCTTTATTATTGTGCAGTACAGTGCTTGCATCCTGTACATGGTCTGAATTGTCTCATTTTCGCCAAACACTTCTGATGTTCTACTCTTTCTAAAATTAAGCTAGCATTCTGTTACGTGACAGAATTACAGTAACTTTTACTTCAAATTTAATTAAGTGAAATATCAACACAAGCCATACTGAGTATTCAAACAGGATGTCTCAGAAGAGTATGACCCATATGACAACTTCCTACCTAAAGCATTAAAGGTTGCAATGTGTTCCCACATGTTTTGTGGCTGATCAGAGTGGGGCTGCCAGAGAAGAGCATCAACATCATGCCTCAGGCAGAAACAAGGCATTTCTTTGGGATCCGCAACAACTGAGAAAAGATACTGATTGCTTCCAAGATTAATCTGAAAACAAAACCAAACAACAACAAAAAAATTGATTCAAAGCATGAATAGCAGATTCGGTCACATGAGCTGCCAGAGTTACTTATTCAACAGCTTAACGTTTGCTGGTTGATAAAATGTTTGAACACATTATGCTGATCAACAGTTCAATACACAGCAGGTGGCAAACATATTTCAAACACACGTAGTTGTTGCTTGGGAAAACAATTAAGGAAACATTATGTCCATTATGCAAGCAAACAGGAAATGTGTAGAAATGCTTTTCTAGGATGGAGGACCCTAACCTATAACTTTTGATTCTCTCTTTAATTACAACTGTTTTTCTGCATTGCCAAGAGAGAAAGAAATACTGTCTCTATGCAAAAACAGAAAGAAAAAAGAAAAAAAAAAGAAAAAAGAAAAGAAGTTGATTTGCACTGGAAAAAGAATTAGAATACTAAAATTAAGAAATGTCAACAGTTTTCTATTTGCTCACAATCAAACAATTACTAAATTTCAGATCAGCACCTGATTCATCAAACATATCTAGATTGACAAAAACATTCAATAAGCACTTATATTCACAAGGAATGATTGTAAGAAAGGCAAGACAAGCATAGCTACCTATCCCAATTCAAACTAAATACTACAATTAGTGGACAAATGAGGAAGCAAAAATTCCTTCTCTGTGACACAAATAACCCTTAAGGACAACTGCTTATCAGAAAGCAGATTTGGAAAACTGATGTACAGGCTGAATACTAAAATACTCTGACTTCCCAGCCTAAATTCCAAAATATTCTCTTACATGTATGGAAACAGATTATCAATAAAGACATATTTTGCATTCAACATCACTAATTTTATTAATTAACAAATGAAACATAGAAGTTTTAGAATTTGTCATCATGGAAGAGTAATAATAGTTTATATGGATATTGAGCTTGCTGCAATAACTGATTTTGCACGTGAAAATAAAAGATCTGTGCAGTACTGGTGTGTCAAACTTTCTACTATCTCATAAAGTAGCGAGCACACATCTTTTCAGATGTAGAAATTGAGGAAGGTTACTTAAAACTTCAGTCTGTAAGATGCATCCTCAACAGTTTTCCTAGAGTTTTATGAAGAAAAGGGAAATTAGGATTCAGAATCTTATTCTGTACCCATGACATTTTCTATACAACAGAGGATGTTGTTCTAAACATACTTTAAATGACACAAGGTAGTGATGAGTTGCAACACCAGTGCTTAGAGACATCTTGAAAAAAAAAGCTTAGTAGAGGCATCTTTAAAAAACAAATTAACGGAAAAAAAAATCAACTTAACCTGCAGTATTTTGTTTCTTCCCTTCAGCAACAGACCAGATCAAGTCCTAACTGAACTACAGTAAGGTAGTAACTTAGCAAAAAAATGCAACTTTCTAGTAGGCTATATGAAAAGTTACTGAGAAAAATACGAGGTATGGAACAAGAAAGAATTCTAGGCTCCTCAAAAGGACTCCTTTTTATCATTATTTTGGCATAACTTTGCTTTTTCAATCAGCTCGTTTGTGAAAGTATATATACATATCTAAAATCACGATAAGAGCAGCCTCCTTTTTATATCAAAATGATATTGAAAGTAATGCTTCCTATTTTACAGTGTCAGCCCACAATGTTAGAAGCGGATCCCCTTACATGTTGTTGCTGTGTGACAGCAGATGGCAGCAGAGGGACAGTCTGATAAAAAGGCGTCTGACATGGAAATGTGTATTAAGCAAAGGTGTATCTCTGAATTCCTCCAGGCAGAAAAAATGGAGCCCAATGGCATTAATCAAAGCTCACTGAGCATTTATGGAGACCAAACGGCAGATGTGAGCACAGTGAGACAGTGGGTGGTGTTTCAGCCATCATATATGTGATTTCAAAGATTTGAACAGATTTGTTCTGATAAAAGAGTTCACCTTTCATATTAGAAAATGAGTATTTTAAAGTATTTCAGTAATAATTTGCAGCACTTACCACGTGAGTAACCTTCAAGGTATTGCCATCAAATCTGCACAAACTTGCGCCATCTTCAAGAAAAGCATCACATTCTTCTAATTCTTGTGCATTACAAGGTGGATTTTCCTTTTCAGGATCTGGATTCTGAAAAAAAAAGGTAAATTAAGTATACTTAAAATCTGAGTCTCTCTCTCTTGTATATTTATTTATTTAACAGAGGACACAAATATACACTTTCTTATTAATTATGAATTAATGTTGCTTCTCAAACAAGAAAAATGACACCATTTTGGCAGCGAGTATAGTCTGGAAGTTGAGGCCAAACAATGTACAAAGAAAGACAGAGCACTACCACTCAGTTCATCTGACACGGAGCTCTTGAATTCATGTGGTCATTTCTGCATCCATTCAGTTGATTAGTAAGAACTTTTATTTTGAATCAGTATACAAAGTAAAAGGAGTTCAGCACAGGGGTTATTTTTGTGCGTTTGTTTCCTCACATTTGGATGCTATGACAACCTAAGTTTAAAGAAAACTGACAGGAAGAAATGACAAAGAAAGTTCCTTAAATGACAGAAAACATGAAAGGCATCATATATGTGTAAGACTTAAAACAGGGCAGGATAAACGTTGGGGTTCAACTCTCCTCTGCCAAACATTATGATTTATTGTTCTTATCAGAAAGCTTTAGAAAAGAAGCTTTCAGGTAAACAGCATTATAATAAACACTTGAGATGACTGAAAATAATCCATGCTTTTAGTATACATATATATAAGTATACTAAATTTCACTGAAACTAAATACTGAACATTTACTTTAAATAACTTCCCAGGGTTTTTATTATTTTTGTTTTCTGTGATAATCACTGCACACAAGCTGAAAAGTTGCAACAAAAATCATCTTAAAACAGGTTGCAAAAGCAAAAATTTGAAGTTTAGAAGATATACTACAGTATTTTGCCCACAAATGGTATGTGAGAAAGGAGTGAAATCAATTTAAGCACTAAACAGAATTTACTTTAATTTTCCAGCCTTCTTCAAAAAAGTAGTAATCCAAAAGTAACAAATCAAGATCCTGAGAGTCACAGTTCACAAGTTTTAGATGAGATGCCAATTCTTAATTAAACCAAAATGTTAAGTATTTAACAAACAGCAGTTAAAAATATATTTAAAGACTTTCTTTATAACCACATGCCAGAAAGTTCATGAGTCATGCCTTTACAAAAAGCAAAAACTTAGCAAAGCATGTCATTTACACTCAGTTAACATAAGACAAGCACAGCATCTCTAGAAAGACAGCATAAAATTGTTGCTAATCTACTGATAAACAAGAAACAGACATCCTTAAAAATTACTTCAATTAACTGCTTTTAAATTGGCCCATAACAAGTGGTGGGAACAAAATCTGTTTTTCAATTTAATCAGACTTCTATATTTTGGTGCAGAGACACTATTATGTATGCTAAATTCAGTCCCTTATAACCATATCACAGTTCAGAACACAGTCATAACTCCAGTGTTATTAGGTAACAATCTCAGATGAAATTGAATGTAGTCTAGGATTCTGAACAGTAAATGAACTGAAGAGCTATGTCATTTGGATATCAAGAAAAAAATAATACATAAATATGCAAATATGTTAAATGTTTTATTTTCAACTACTTACCATTACTTCAGAAGTCAGATGCATCAGAGATTCACTTATTTCAGCACACTGGGAAGAATCCATAATGAATTCCCCTTTTTTGTCACCAACTATTAGCTCTGGCCATCGTGGTCCCTCATTTTTCTTAATTAGAAAAATTTCCAAGCTAAAATGCAAACAGAAGGCAACAAGTAATACATGAATCTTTTTCAGATGACAGTCAAAAAAAAGCTCTGAAAGTAGATTTGAGAACTGAATTGTTACTGAAAACCATACAACAGAAACAATTAGAATTCACCTTATAAAAAATAAACTATTTTTCTAAAACTATACTTATAAAATATTAACTGAAAATATTCATTTAAAAAAAAAAATACAGACAAACCCGGAGGAAGGACAAGTGATTTCTCAAAGCCAAATAAAACAAATAAAACACACTCATGCTTGTGCAAAGCCTTGAATTTCCTACTTTGATACCAGGACAATATGAAAGACAGTTATACATACGACTTATTTTTTAATAGATTTTTTTAGTTTGAAAAGGCTATCCTATGTTACTGTATAAAACAGCTTGTCATGTAACTTCTTAAGAAACTAACTATAAGAAGGAATTACTTTCATAACGAGCCAAAGAAACAGAACTCAGAACTGCAGAAGCCAGCGAGCAATTTTCAGCAGAGAAGGTAAATGCTTGAAAGGACAAGCTCACTGTCTAGCAATAAATAAGTCAATTCCCAGGAGGCCCAAAAGCCAGGTATGACATACACTTTGAAATCAATTCCTAGCAATAGTAAATCTTAAAATCATACACAACACCTTTTGTTCTCTTTAATTATCCAAGTGCAGCTTTCATGGTCCACAGATGAATATAATTTTCCTTCCATCAAAGCAGGCTGGTCTTTCAATGTAACACATATGTTGTCAGGGGAAAAGTGTACTTTTATGTCATCCTTAGTGATGTCCTGAGGAATGTGAACTGTTATTGTCAGATCATCTGCAGTCTGTTGCCAGTAATAGAGAGGGTCTACAATTGAAAACACACAGTAAAATACCATCTACGTTAAAAATGTCCTAGATTCTACAGCATGTAATGCTGGATGAGACAGAACTGAGACTTGGGGAAGAATGGAGATTAACTTCTTTTGCAAACAATTTTCTTAAAATACATCCTGATTATTAGACAGAAACTTTTTTTTAAACAATCAAGTTAATTTGTGTCAATCATCTGGAAAACAACTTCTGTTAATGTCTGTACTCAAATATGTTGATGGAGTTACCCAAAGACATTAGATATTACTCTACAGTTATTACAGCCTTATGAACTTGATATCTAAAGTGTATTTCAGTACACTGAAGCATTAGTGATCAATAACTCAGTTAAACAGACACCTGACAGTTAGAGCTGGAGATTTTTATAGGTGCTTTCCAACTGAAATTATTCTGTTCCATAAAGAAGGCTGTGACAGCATGATTGAGTAGTGAAAATATGCTCACAGAAAACATAACTACAAGTGCATTCATTTTCTTTTAAAATTTCCCTCAGATTAAGAGAAATAAAGTTTGGATGGACTCATTTTCTTAAATGCTTGAGAAGCTCTCCACATTGTCACAGTTCAGTGTTTGGTTGATCATGTCAGCAGCTGAAGCTCTGGAAGTGCTCTTACACTGCTGCCTGTTACCATGAGTTTCCTGTCTGAAGTAGAATAGTCACATATGCTACAAATATGATTCACAGAAACTGTTAAGATGAGATGTGATAACCCTTAAAATTCTTACCTTTGACACAAACTGTATCTGGTCTTAACTTATAAGAAAAAGGAATGAGACCAAACCAAATGTCCTACATTTTTTTTTTCCCTTTGCACTACCTTCTACACTACCTTAGTAGCAATAAAGCACGTATAGGGCAGAACAGGAAAGAACAAAGGAAAAAGCCAAAATGACAGTGAGTAACATAACCACCTTAATAGTTCATGTACTGTTGTAATCTCTTCTAAAAGTCAGAATTCTACTGCCAGTGCATCTTGTTTCATTATTTGGTATCTATTTTGCCTGCAGTTCTATAGAACCGTGCAACTAAAATGATAGCCTACACTAGGTTTCTGAAGAGACAAACTCCTTCTTAAAGAGGAATTAGACTTCCCTCTGAAATCAAAGTTCACGTTTCAGTACTTTCTCTGACATTACATTTCTGTGCCATCATAAGATCTTGCTGCTCCCCGCATCACAGATGGCCTTCCTGAGCTGGGAAACAACATATGTGCACACATACGCATTAAGTGAACTCTGTTAGGAGCTGGTATTGTGCTAGTATTATTCAGTTAAAATAGGTTCAGTAATGAACCTCTCATAATCAGAAACAAAAATCAAATCGGAAATAACTCAATGCAGCAACATAAATATCCATATTACAGAGCTGAGTGACATTTAGGATTAAAATTTAAGTTTATTCATTTTGTTCTGGTTTTGTCAGGTCAGTTATTTTTTTCTAAACTTCTTTCTTAACGAAGACCTTTACAAGATTCTCATTCTTAAACAAACAAACAAACAATTTTGTATTTCTATTTGAAAGGAAAGAATATTTTACACATCAGACAGATCCTTCTGCTGAACAACTCCTTGGGGGAGCTTCATTCCCAACTTTTTGGGTGTCATCTCCTTGTTTTATCTATGAAGACTACTACATTTGAGTACTTCAACTAGATGTTTGAATTTAGGCAGCCTAACTTTTGTCTAAACTCAACTGTTAGCAAATAATCAGTACAGTTCTCTTGACAAAATGCCTTTATCCTTTATCCTTTCTATAAAGAAATTCTTTATGTGTCTCCTGTGTCAAAGTGTTTCCCACATAAGCTCATGCACAATATAACTTCCCAGGAGGAAAACAAACATATGAAAGTCCATCTGTCCATAAAATAAATACATAAATAAATAGATCAAGGGGAAAAAAAAATAATTCAGACAGATATTAAGACTAACATTTACTAGGATTTCCAAACAAGCTCTTTTCTTAGCCAAAACAGAGAACAATCTATTATAAACTGTCAAATAAGGTTTACCTTTCTTTTCATTTGTTGTTTTCTTGTCGTCATTTTCTTCTAAAATTTCTTCCTTTTCCTGTACAAATTTGAATGGTTTGTAGGAAATAATCATTAGACCATCTCCACTTGGCTCTATTGATGCATAATGGGGGACAGATTTTCCCTGTAAAATTCTCCTTTTGTAGATTTCATACCTATGTTCATCTATAAAATGAAGAAAAAATATTTGAGCAGTAATATTTTTCTAGGGGATGAAATTCTTGAACAAGAACCTCATTACACTTAAAAATGCTAAGCAATCCTACAAGTTAAATAACAGTACTTTAAAAGGAAATCTCTTTTTCAATGACTTTAATATATATGTAGTTCCTAAAATTAATTTAACATTGTCCTTTTTTCTTATGATGTCTTCTTTAATTATAGCTAGCCCAGCAATTCACAAAACTACTCTCAGTCTCTGAAGAAACAGGCCTTTCAAATATTTTTAGAGCTGATACAAGAGCTTGAGAAACAACAACATAGCTTCTGGTAACACTTTACCCATAATGGAAAATGCCTGCCCTCACTTTTGAAGGCCTGTGTTTTACAAAAGCTGAGGAGATCCTAGTTGTCAGTGACTGGCATCAAGGATTGTGCTCCCTAACATATGAGTACCGGTGACTTAAAACATAGGTAAAGTGGTAGGTTCTAGAGTTTGTTGTTCCTTAATTAAAACCTAACTGGACTCATAGCCCTCAGTATTTGATCAACTCTTTGTAACAACAGATTGTACAAATGGATTTTTAGCAATTAACTAACAATACGATAAAATTCTGACAGGTGATAATATTATCTCTAATAAAGGTTTCATTTTTCACATATATCTTTCATCTCTTCAGTGAAAGAATTAGCTGTTCTTGTGACTACAGCTTTACTTGAAACAAAGAAAAAAAACAATACTGGGAATTTATTACTAGAGACATTAGACAAGACCAGATCACAATGGTAAAAATACTTCGGTACCACTCTAGCATTCCAAAGTGTCCAGGTTCACCTCAGTGTTAAGTTTACAGAAATACCAATGTCACAGTACAATACAGACAACAATGGATAAATCAGGTATAATTTGGGTGCCCTTAACAAGTTATCTTACATGGTAAAAATTAGTTTAGAAATAGAGTAAGGAACAATAACCAGTCTGCAGTGTAATTCTGGTCCTTGTTCAGTTCCGGTTCTGATTCGGTTAAAGTCCCCTCCTCTGTTCTAAAAAGTGTAAGCAGGGAGCTATTAGTAGAATAGACACAGTCATTCTAATCCAAGGCAGAATGATTTTCATCTAAAATCTGATGAGAATTTTGTTGGGATGCAAGCATCAGAAAATGAGGAACAATCAACATTTAAAACAATGAATAAAAGCATAATAGCTGTTTTTCTTTTGCAGTGTTTTTTTGTTTTCGTACAGTTTTAGGGTTTTTTTTTTCCCCTTACCCACCAATAATATAAATGTAGAACACTTACCCGCTTTGTTCATCTCCACAAATGTAACCCATTCCAAAGTAATATGAAATCCACTTCCTTTTGTGTCCAATTCATCTTTTTCTACCCTAAGCAGCAGCACAGATACTGAATGTTTATCAGATTTTACAAATGAAACACTGTGTACTATAATAAATGGACTGCCTAGCTCTTCATTAAACACAATCTGGAAGACAAAATGGTGGTAAAAGGTTAGTTAAAATTAACAGACTCAAAAATTAGTGAAAGGCTTCAAGGAACATTAAATCGATTAAAATTTGCTCGCCACAAATCTCATTAACTTTTGGTTAGCTCTGAAGTGGTCACGCAGTTGGACTAGACATTCCCTGAAGTTCTCTTCTAACAGAACTATTCTATGTATTTCTGGTGCTTCCTCCCTTGGCTATCAAAAAAGTGTTCTGAAGTATCTGTATTATTGTTTATATTATAGAATCATTGAAATGGTCCATTAGATAAAGCACAAAACTCTACAAAAATGTCTGCACTAAAGCACAGGATAACCAGCTTCCTTTTGACTGAACTCTCGAACTGTGCAGGGGAAGGAGCTACATAACCATGCTGAAATCCTCCACTTCAGGCACTTGACTTCCTGCCAATATTAAAAACTCCTTGAAACTGTCCTCTAATTAAAAAGTTGCATGAAAATGTGGTAATTTAATATCAAATTCATCTTTCAGAAATGAAGAGAAACAACAGACCAAAACTTATAGTAGCTGAAGCTCAAGATGGTTTAAAATAAATGATTTCGTAAACTATTTAATAATGAGAAATGTTACAACCACCAAGTTAAAAAAAAAAATACTAAGCACCAGTAATTTTCCAGAGCTAAGTGTACAGCATGGAAATTTTCTCTCCCAGAGATGTGGAAATATTACAATTTAGATTATACCTACTCTACATAAAGCCTTCGGGGTTAATTATAAAAGCTTTTTAATCATCAGTTTTCCTTAAGTTTTATTCTAGTCACCATGGACACACTTTTAAGACAGGATAAATTAAATGGTGAACATTTCAAGTGCCATTACATCAGCACAAGCAATCTAGAAGCTTCCTAACTTAAAATGAAAAGTAGCATTTAGCTTGATTGACATTCAGGCATTTTAAAAAATATTTATTACTCCACAGGTCAGAGGAAATAATTAACGATAAGTGATAGTGGAAGGAAAACCTAGGCTGACCCATCATAAAAATAGAGAAGGGAAAGGGAAAATGGTTCTTATAAGAAGTTCAGTTTGACAGGTGTGTAGTCACCTATTCAGAAACACTCGGTCTGTTTAGCGAATCTGTTTAGACAGATTCTTTTCCAGTCAAAAGGCTGTTTCCATTCAACCATTTGAATTTTACTTTTTTTTTTTTTTTCACATAAAGAAATAATTCACATGATCTTTATGCTTGGACACAATCCTATATCAATGCCATAGAGTTAAGATTGAAAGCTTAATTTTTCATAACATTATATGTGTGCGATTCTCATATTAAATGCAGAAGTAGGAATTATTTGGTAAATGTACAATTCTTTAATGTGTTATTTTAAGACTTACCTCCCACTTTTCTGATGCACTGTTTCCACGCTTGCCTGACTTAATTAAATACAGTCTTCCTGTTCCATCAGAAATGGTAACCCACGTGGAAGATGAGAAGTATATTGAGGCACAAAGGCGATTATCGTAAGCTGTCAAATCTGTAGGTAGCCTGAAAACTTCTCTTGGCTTTTGCAGAGCAGTGTCCTATAAGCAGAGTCACTTTATGAATCATAGAATCACAAGGTTGGAAGGGACCTACAAGATCATCTAGTCCAACCGTCCCCCCTTACCATCACCACAAAGTTCTAATCAATTTCACCATTGCAGAAAAATGAACAACAAACCTCAACAGCAATTCACCAGTTCACGTAACTGAGCCTACTGGGAAAAATGTAGGTAGGCAAGCATCACTTCCACATATGAGGAAAAGGTGGTAGAATTTTAGTATTCAATCTGTTTATTGAAAACATAAGTGTTTTATAATTGGTATTTCAACACCTTTTTTTTTTTCCTTCAAATTCAAAGTACTAATTTACATTTTTCATTTTAAAAACTTTTACTTCTTTTCTCCTAACATGACTGTATAATTTGTCATTCAACTCACACAATTTAAATCCCAATAAGAACCTGGAGACCTTGAATGAAATAAAAGCCATAGAATTGTACTAAAAAAGTTCATTTACAAGGACTTCTAAACTAAAACAAACTTTAATCCTCTTTCTTACTCAATTGTGCACATATATACAACACAGAAAGAGCACATTCGTGCATGCTAGTGTGACATGCACTTTTTTTTTGAGACTATAGTATTAGAGACAATTTCAAATCTATTATTTTTTCCAAATGTTATTAAAATCAGATATGCATCTAGAACATGTTCAAAGTTAGGCAAGATAAACTGGATTGGGATAAGTACCATTTTAATAAGCATCAGTAAAAAAGATCAGATGACAAACAGCCTGATTGTCTTTTGGGTCTACTTGAATTCATGTTAGAGATTACTGTTCCCTATGAAAAGGCACAAGGGCAATTCTGAAATCTGCAGTAGAAAAGATGAAAATTAGATTTTATAATTACTAGTAGCATTCAGGGTCACTCTGTAGATTCAGCTGCATCACTAAAACCCTTCAATTATTCACCTAATTTAGAACACATTCAGGAAGGGAGAATGAAAGAATTATAAACAAAGAAAGAAAGAACACACTCACACCCAAGCACTTTCGACATTCTCATCTTCTACTAGAATATCTTAAGGTTTTACTGAAAGGCAATATCTTCTGAAATAAAAGCATTCCATTGTAAGAAGTTGTATGACTATTGTGAATAGGAATGAAGAATGTAAATTGTGGAAAGAAAAAGCTTCAGGCCCAGCACTATGAATTACAAGGATATGCTATGAACACCACAGAAGACCACACTTCTGACAGCCTTCAAGTGAATCATAACAGTAAGCTCGAATTAGTTATGGATATAATTTTGTTTTAAAAAACTATCAACTGTCAATCATTTAATCTTCTAACGCCCACATTAGATTTATCAACACTGAAGAGGAGTGACAGGAGTCAACAATTCTGAAAACTTTAATTAAAAGTCTTCATATCACAAAGCCTCCCACCTAAAAGGAAAAAAAGAAAATGTTCTTACAATAATCTTCCTTTTGATGCTCACTAGTATTAAGTCTGCAGATAACACTAAAATGGGAGGAACTGTCGACACTCGAGAGTAAAGAGGCCCTGCAGAGAGCTGCTGACAAATTAGAAAGCTGGGCAATCATCAACTGTATGAAGCTGAACACGAGCAAGTGCCAGATTCCATGCCTGGAAGAGGGCAAACCTGACTTTGTACAGGCTGGGGAATGAGAGGCAGGAGAGCAGCCCAACAGCAAGGGATTTGAGGGTTCTGGTTGACTGAAGTTGAATACAAGTCAGCAGTGTGCCCTGCCAGCCAAAAGGACCAACCATGCCATGGAGTCCATCATGGCCAGCACTGCCAGTCTGGCGAGAGAAGGGATTGTTCCACTCTGCTCTGTGCTGGTGAGACCTCATCTCAACCACTGAGTGTAGTTCTGGGCATCACAACATAACATTAACGGATGATATCATCTTAAACACCAAAGTTACAAGGTGAATTTGTCATTTAGGTGTAACTGCAACAAACCTCCAAACAAAAATCAAACTTGCAGGAAAAATAGGTTTCAGAACTATATGAAATTACTTGTTAAAAAAAAACATCTTTCAGTTTGGATTTGGGATAAGCATATTAACCTGCTTCATCATCAGCTAAAGAGAATTCAGTACAATAGTGCCTTCTGTTAACTTGTAAACTGTACTTACTTAAAACAACATTATTTAAAACATACATTTCACTAATATATGCACAGGCACTTTTGAGAAGAGAAGACTTGTTGATGTTTCTGAACAGAAATTCCTCTTTATACACGTGCAAATACATTTATTCTGCAAAACAGCACTGTACTGTAGATTAGGACACAACATGGCAGCCATTTATTTGACATTCTGGTAGTACAATAGTACGTCAACAAAATGTAACTTTCTTGAAAATTTTTCTCTTGAAAATAAAAATCTAACAGCTGCCTCGAATCAGTTAATGACAGAACTATTTTGGGAAGCATCTACATATTATTACCTTTGTCAACATAGAATCCTAATAGAATCATGGAATCATGGAATCCTTAGAGCTGGAAGGGACCTTTGAGGGTCATCTAAACTGATTCCCCTGCAATGAATAGGGACAACACAGCTACATCAGGTTGCCCAACGCCTGATCCAGCCTTGCCTTGAAAGTCTCCAGGGAGACTAGTAACTGGTTATAAATGAAGCACTGTTATTCAAATTAGCTAATATACAATTGTGGACTTCTTTTCATTCTTGACAGATGAAGATGTATTTGATTCAGAAGGATTGAGTCAAATCATCATGAAAACAACAACAAAAGAACATATTTATTGGTAAAAAACTGTAAGTACACCTTTATTACTCATTAGGGTACAAGTCAAAATCATCAGTGAATTAATCTTATTCTAAATTACAAATTCAGAGCTAAGAAGACATTGTGATAGCTGTAAAATTGCCACGGATAAGTCTTCTGTTCCTTAACAAGCAAGGACTACAACTGTATATACCAGAAAGACGGTACCCATGCAGCTATGTTTTCCCAGCTCAAAAAGAAAGAATGGCTCTGCAGTGGAATCAGGGCACTTAGGCATTCAAATGCCTCAAAAAAATTGACTGTGTAAGGCAGCCAGTTTTATCAGTATAAAAGCAGAGAACAGGCATGTTTTTCTGACTTGGTCTAGCTTATTCTCTATTTCAAATTTGCCCAGGGCCACAAGTGCTTTTTGCCTCCAACCAGCCATACACTGATTAAGCTATTAGTCTACATGTGCTTTCATTTATAATTCTAAATCACACAGCTTTTCTCTCCTTCTATCTACAGTGATTGGATTTTCAAATTAGCAAACATCAAGCAGAATTGCTGAGAAACCTCTGGCAATTGCATAAGGAGTATCTGCTCTTTTCTTCAGCTTGAGACCATATGTTTATCCTCCCCATGAAGGAATAACACGTAGTATTAATACAGTGCAATACTAGTAAAATACTATTAATGAAAAATTTCAGAAATTTTCATTTAAAATCCTTTCATCCCTACTAGCAAACCCCATTTTTGTCAATCTACCTCTCTTCCTGGCAGTAGCTTCCCTTCCAGTTTTGCATCTGGAATCTCCTTGATCTGTTTTCTACCTTATCAATCTACACTTATTCAAATTCAATTATTTTAAAAATAAGTTTCTGCTTACCAGAGTCACTGACAAGTTCATAACCCTTCCAAATTGGTCAATGTAGTAAACATTATCCTGGTACCAGGAGTCAAGGTGAAGATAATTATACATGCCAAAAGCACGCATGTGGTCAAGGGTATATTGATCATCACGAAGTTTCACTTCTGCTACAGCTAGAACACGAAAAGAGAGAGAAATCATTTGAACAATATTTCTAAATAAATAATTTAATAAGTTAACGCTTAAAATAATAGTTTTATAATAATTCATCTGTAGCCTGTAGGCCTAGTTTATTTGAAGAAAAACATATGATACATATATAGTTAAACAACAAACAATATCACTATGAACTTGGAAAGCAGGTCCTGCACACTGAAGGCCACCACAATCACTCACCACAGTAACGTCATAACCATTGCCATTTACAGAAACCTACACTGACTCTTCCCAACATCTGTTCAGGTCTCTCCATTTTGTCAAATGCCCTCACAAAAATGGGAGCACAAAGCAAGAACCTTGTAAAATTTACTTTTCAGGCTACTTGTAAAGACCACAAATCATTCCTGATACATATACTGTAATAAAGAAAACAAAATAATTCTGCTCCACCATAAGTCTAAGCAAACAATGGACAAAAGAAATATCTTCTAACTATGTGAATTTCATAATTTCATAAAATCTGAATCATGCTATCAACAACTGCAAAGCAAACAATTAAGACACTATTAAGCATAATTAGTATGTGGTCATTACTGAAAAAGTATGTTCCTAGCATCTTCATTGAGGCTGAAGAAATCTACAGCAATCTCCAAGATACCATCAAAATTTCAATGCAAGTTTTCTCTGTCTGAAGGAGTCTGCAAAGAATGGCTGTTCACTAATAATAGTGCTTTCTTCAGGATAGGCAGCATGCTACTTGCAGCCACCCATTTGAGCAAATGGAAAACTTCTCCACAGCTAGCAGTAATCTTAGCTGGAATTATCTGCATAAAACTAAGCAAGTTATTTAAACTAGCTGCAACTCCGTCTTCCTGCTCTGCATCTATTCAGAGACTGAATAGTTTCAACATCTCAAAATACAGAAAATCTCCAAGTTCAAGTGCAGACAGTGGCAAAGATTTAGCAAATCCTTCTAAACTGGACTCCAACAGACTGGAACTGCTCAGTCTCCACTACTGACATCCCAGGATCCATAGTTTCTCTGTAAGAAGTATATTTCAAATTTGACATAACAAGAAAAATCCTTCAGAAAGTTACAAGTAAACTGTCTGCCCATGATGAGTAAGCTTCAGACCCATAGTAAAGGGAGGCTAACAAAGCGATGAGAAGGATATAAGAAAGAAGGTTTTTTGGATATAAGAGAGAAATCTTTTACAGTAAGGGTGGTGAGGCACTGAAACAGGTTGCCCAGAGAGACAGTGGATGCCCTGACCTTGGAGACATTGGTTGGATGTGGCTCTGAGCTAAAGGTGCCCCTGTTCATTGCACGGGAGTTGAACTAGATGACTTTCAGCCTCCCTTCCAACTGAAACAATTCTATGATTCTAAGGTCACATTAGTTATTCTAATTACCACTTTTACAACTTCCACATTCACAACTCTAACCAGAAGTCCTCATCTTGGACTCCTTACGCCCTTCTTTAGCATATATCTAAAACCTACTGAAGAAGCAGTATTTTATTCTAGTTATGGCAATAATTACTTCAAACTGTAGTTCATTTTCCAAAACGACGAGTTCCACTGAATAGCCATCACAACACATATCACTGATCGGATAATCGCTATGGGCTCAAAACTGATCCCATTAGGGACGCTATTAACAGGGGTCATAGAAAACTATGCAAGACATACTGATTAATTAAGAATAAATATTCCAGTCATACTGTATAAAACGTTTGTAAAATGATGGCATAATTAGCAATTAGTCTCCTAATCATTGTTGATGTTTGCAAACCAAGAGCATTAATTCCACTCAACTCATCTCATTATTCATATTAACCACAATGGAGAGATTTCAGCATCTCTGCAATTAGTAATTACTCTTTCCTAAGACATGGCTAGAAGAAAAAAGCTACAGTGTTAAAAAAAAAAAAAAGAGTTAAGAAAATATACCTGCCATAATGTGAAAGATGCTACCACTCCAATTTCTACTTTAACTAATTAGAATATTCTACAGTAAATTACACTGTAAAAAAAATTAAAAAGTTGTGTTATGAAAATGTGTTTTAAAGCTGTTTGGACAAAAAAAGTCTTTACCACAGATATTTTTCCTAACAAGATGAAAGGTGATGTGAATGTTCTGTAAACAATTAAAGACTAAAACAAATATAATCCAAGATAATTGTTTCTAGTGAAACCAAGTATATATCATCTCCTTTCTGTATAGACAGGTATACTTACAGTCAAGAACTAAATTCACATGCTGAAACATATAAGTGTTTTCAACACAGAAAAGCTAAGGTTGTCTTATTTTGTCTTCTACCGTTCCCTCCCCCCAGGCACATTGCTGCTAGTAGAATTTTAACTAAAATATATATAAATATTGAAAACAGTTAAAACTGGCTGCTTCCTAAAGCAATTCAGAAATCTTTTTGGAACAATACACCATGGCTTAGCTGTAAGATTATAAACTCTATAAAGGATGAAAGAACATGAACAAAGTCCCTGTCCTTGAGTTTTCCAGCTGGTTGTTCTTACAAGCCCTGCATAATAAGGAGTTAGTAAAAAGAGATCCAAATCTCTTAAGATGAATTATGCAATTAACTCTTCATAAATAGAAGTCAGAAACTATACCATATGTGATTTTAAACCTGGAAAGCAAACAAATGTGTACTGGATTTCCACGTAACACTTCAAATATGGTTATCAACAGCTTACAGAATGTATATACATATCTCTGCCAATAAATCATTAGATTAATTGAGACTTGTTCTGTGATAAAGTAAAATCTGTGCACAAATGCCATCTGCTTCACATATCATGTGTTTATCACATATCATAGTTTATAGGAGATTTTATACTATGATGGAGTTACATTCCTTCCTTTCTGCAGCCTTCCCAGTTCAAGTTTTCTTGATGGTCCTTGGAAAAAATGTTTTTAAAAAAGGAACTGAATCTAGGACAGACTAATTCAATAGCTCCAATAGTTCAACTAACAAGCAGCAATTTATGTCAGCTTCTCCTACAGAATAATATACAGCCTTATTCCAATTTATGATAAACAAATCTGCACTACAGAAACCAAAGAACCTTAATTCATACTCTGTCATACCATTAAAGAGAAGGAATGTATATATAAATTAAATCTTAGCTTTCAGTATTATTACCCAACAACTGCAGTGAGGTGTGGTATTTCAGCTAGCAAAATTATGTCACTTGTCTAGAACTGTATGTCACCAGCTCCATAATTGAAAAAATAATTTGACTCAAAATATTTCCCAGCTAATTAAGCCAAGATTTTCACTAATACCAAGTCTACTTAAAAGCAAGAGGAAAATGTACAAAGCAATTCATAAGAATCAATTAAAGGAACAAAATATCCCTAACCTAATCAGATCTTATTATTACCCTGCACTGAAAAAAAAAAAATCTCCTCTGCATAAAAAGTAAGACTCATACTTTAAATGAATAGGGAAGCCCTGGCTTGTATCAGGAATGGTGTGGTGAGTAGGACTAAGGAAGTCATCCTGCCCCTGAACTTAGCACTCGAGGCCTCAGCTCGAGTACTGAGTTCAGTTTTGGGCACCTCAATACAGAAAGGACATTGAGGTGCTGGAGCAGGTCCAAAGAAGGGCAACAAGGCTGGTGAGGGGCTTGGAGAATATGCCCTACGAGGAGAGACTGAAGGAACTGGGGCTGTTTAGTCTGGGGAAAAGGAGGCTGAGGGGAGATGTCATTGCTCTCCTCCAATACCGGAAAGGGGATTGCAACAGAGCAGGGCTGCTCTCTTCTCAATGGTGACAGGATGAGGGGAAATGGCCTCAAGTTGTGCCAGGGTAAGTTTAGGTTGGATATCAGGAAACACTTCTTTACAGAAAGGGTTGTTAAGCACTGGAATAGGCTCCCCAGGGAGGTGGCTGAGTTACCATCCCTGGGTGTGTTTAAAAACCCTTTGGCTGTGGTGCTCAGGGACATGGTTTAGCAGAAGGTTGTTAGAGTTAGGGTAGCGTGGTTAGGCTGTGGTTGGACTCAATGATCTTTAAGGTCTTTTCCAACCTGAGCAGTTCTGTGACTCTATGATCAGTAGAACTTGAAAAAAAAGAGTGGAAAATCTGTGAAATAGTAAGTCTGCACTTTCATATTTTCTACTGAATACATCACAATTACTTCAGAATACTGCAAGATATGTAAACTAATCTTAACAATGCAATTTATTGGGACACTGCACGTTATATGCCTCTATATCATACTTTGTTTCGCAATGCCACCCAGTGGAAGAAATTTAGTATTTCATGTACACTTTTTACTAGCGAAAGACAGTCCATTAATTTATTCTCTAGTATCAGTGGTCAGCACACATAGATCCTTCTGTCTCGGAATCAGTTTTCTCCTAACAAGCATGTTTTCACTGTTAATAGCAGCATCATTTTGTTGCTAACCAAAAGTATAAGACTTTCTTAGCATACTGTAGCAGGTGTTAATAGACTGAACGCAGAAGTTTACTTCTAACAAGCGCAGAGCTTGCTGAAAACAAGCATGCTTTGCCTACAGATACCATTTCATGAAGTATTTTTGCTGGATCAAATTATTAACACAGATATGAACATACATGGCATCTATTGCACACTCAAGTGAATCTAAAAATCAAACAATACCCAAAAACTGGTGAGGCATTTGTGAGAACATCACTTTCAAAACAGCTTGTAAGCTGATTTGTGCCTGCTGTAGGAACCCCCTTCATTAATAATAGTTAATGCCTATACATCATGTTTTTCCTTCTCTAGAAATTAAAGTACAACACAAGAACAGTTACAAAATGGCCTAAGACCTAAACCTAAATATCAGGAACTAAGGAAAATAAGGAGAAAAGCTAAAGAAAAGGAGGAGAAATACATACAACGTTTAGGGTGAAGAGCTGGGTATTAAAGCAATAATCCCCTGGGATTCATTACTAGTTGAAGTACCAGGATGAGAGAGTGGAAGTTCAGGTGAATTGGAAGAGAATGGGTAGCAACTAGGCAAGAAATGGGCAAAGAACAAGCTAATTACAGCATCTAAAAGGGAGCATATAATAACAGAATTTCACCATTCTTTTCCACCATTATTATTTAAAAAATTCACTATGAACTTGTTCTCCACCATCAGATCTGATAAATAAATAGAAAGCTATTAGAAATTTCTTTCTGCTTCAGTTGCACATTTGACTAGCAAATTCATGGGAACCATAGTTTGACAGTTGCGGATAAATTAGCAGTGAATACTAAGCTTTGCACAGTAGTCAGAAAACGAGGACTGCTGTAGTCCACATGAGTGTGACAGCCAGCATAAGGTGTCCAGCAGCTGCACATCCACCTTTTCCAATAATGTAAGTCTGCATCGATTCCATGCATCAATTTTTATCTCATTTGGTTCTACAGGTAGCTCAACCCATAACTTCTGCCCAACATGCAAGTCAAAGTATGGAAGCAAGCCCTCAGTCTAACATAAATGCAGACCACTGATAGCAGAAAACACAAAGTTCAGGTATGGACCATCTCTGCTCTAAAAGGAAAGCGCCCTGAAGTAAGCAGAAAAACAGCAGAGAGAGTGAGCCAGCAGTATGGTCCAAAGACAGGTTGAAACGCAGCAAAAAAACATCATCTAGAAGATCCATTGAGGGCTTGGTTTGGTTTATATTTCATGTTAGTAATCAAAAGAAAAACAAAAAAGAAACATAAGTGCATGTACACAAAAGCAGAGAACAGAATAAGCAATATGGTATTTATGATTTAGCCGGACTGGCAAGTAAGGACTGAAAACAAGTGTGGATCTCTGTGTTATAGTAAGAAGACCAAGAAAAGAGCACAGATACACACCGAATTTATATCACAAGCGTTACAGTAACTGTTATGCCAAATGCCCGAATGGACTAGAGGCATTAGAAGCTCCACAACTCAAACTCTTTAATGAAAATATCGAGTTATCATCAACTTAAAACAGGTGTGCAATACACATATCTGAGAACCACAAAGCATCCTTGATCGCCTTACACGCAAAACATCACAGTAAGAACAACACCATGACAAAGGGCAATGTTCCACTACATAGAATGTTACTCTCATTACACTTCCCAGTGTACAATGGTATCACCTCATCTTCACTCACACATCCTTCAAGACACAACTCACACACAGTGTACCTTTCCGCCCTGCTATTAAAATAATGTACTGAACACAAATCTGCAGCAACACACAGCAGGTAGCCCAGAAGTCAGGTGTATCATCCAGTGACTATAGAGACCAGCCTGCCCAAGCTGCATACTACAGTGTTCTTATAAAAAAAGGCCACTTCATGCACCTTATAACTGACCCACACGTCATGCACCAACAAAGCCAGAAGCTGACAGAGCTTAGGGGGCAGCGAGATAGGCATGCACCCCATACGACTCTGTCAGCGTTCTTCTGGGTGAAATGAGAACTCAGTGAATCAACGCGCAACAGCTCAGCACCACACATGCCGATACTGCACAGCAGAGAAAGCAAGGCCATGAACGGTCTGAGCATCCACGTCTGAACTACGAGCAGAGGAAGACAAAGGGCTTTTATGCAAGGGATGGTGTGAGGCATTAATTTCATACGTATGCCTCTAATTCCTAAGTATTCGTTCCAGACTGCACGCACCGAACCGCCCCGGCCGCCGCCGCGGTCCAACCGCGCATGCCCGCTCCGCGGCCGGCCGCACGCACGCACAGATCCCGGCTCGGCGGGCAGCCCGCTGCAGCGCAGCGCCGTGCCGTGCCGTGCCGCCGCTCGGCTCCTCGCGCGGCAGGACGGCGCCACCGCCAGCCGCGACGAGAAATCGGGCCGAGCCGCGGAAGCGCCCCAAATCACCGTCCCCGCTCCTCACCCGCGTCCAGCTCCAGCTGGTAGCAGGCCAGCGGCTCCAGGGACAGCTTGTAGCCCTCGAACTTGGGGTCCAGGAGCAGGCGCTTGGTCTCCAGCGAGCAGTGCGCGGCGCCCTCCATGCCGGACGCGGGCAGCGCGCGAGACCGCCGCGCAGCACCGCGGGAAGAGCCGCCCGCACGCTGGGAGCGGTAGTTCGGGGCTGAGCGCCGTCGCGAGCCGGGAGCCGCGGGCCGAGCCGGGCGGAGACTGCATTTCCCAGCGGCGCCCGCGTTCGAGAGGACGGAGCGGGCTGTGCGCCGTGGGCCGGCGCCGCCTCCTGCTGCCGGGACTGGCGGCGCTGTGCGGGCTGAGCTGAGCGCGGCGCTCCTTCTTTCCGACCGCGCTGCCCGCGTGCGTACGTCTGCGCCTTGCTCTTTATTTTAGCGATCTCGGCGCTGCTCGTCTCGGTCAGCCTGACTTCCGTGCAGGGTGGTGGAAAACTGAGATTTGCAAAATGAACAAAGATGCGCAGATGAGAGCCACCATTAACCAAAAGCTGATAGAAACAGGAGAGCGAGAGCGGTAAGTCCGTGCTGTAACAGGCCCTCAGCATCGGCAAACGTGTGGGGAGCCTGGGTCAGTTTAGCTCCAAGGTCCTCAAATGTCTGAGATACTCTGTGTCATATAAAACTTCATGACAGCGTTTCCTTCTGAAGAGTTTTATTGTAATGTTACCCTTTAAGGTAGAAAGTCTGATTAAAATAATGGACAGGGAGTGGTTGGCCTGAAACTCTGAAGCTTTTTCCATCCGGTATGTTGTGTTGGAGAACTGCTGCCTTGTACACAAATTGCTCTCCTTCCCTTCCCTCCTTTTCCTCCTTTTTTTTTTTTTTTTTTTTTTTTTTTTTTTAATTCAGTTAAATTGTGTTGTGTTGTGACCTGAGAAAGAGAGTGAGACAACCCATTCATTTTTACTTTTAAAGTTTTCGTGTGTGCCTTCTTTTGTTAAGGAATGAAATATGCAGGGGGTTGCATAAAAAGGCACTTGTGCAAATCACTGTATGTCCCCAACAAAGACCAAGGAGTGAATGGCACGGTGTGGTACAGCAGCTAGTTTTCAGCCTTTTGTTGTCTCCTCAGTCAACTTGCACTGCATTCAGATATCATTAGCCTGCTTTTGACTTTCCAGTTCTCCTTCTTTAAGTGCAGTTGTAACACTGTGTCCCAAAAGCTGCATTTCCTTCACTGTTCTATACCTGTGTAAGGAGGAGACCTCTTCCTAGGCCATGACACAGCCCTGTACCTACTGGAACCTTTTGGAGACTGACGTGTTTCTGTGTTATCTGCTCACTGCAACCACTGCCTTGGAGACTTCACAGAGCTTCAACAAAGCACGCCATTGCTTCACGTGGTGCTGGGGCCTATTTAACTGAAGAGTTTTGACAGGATGTTAAAAGCTGTATTACAAACCAGCTTGATCAGAGACAAAGCGCTCTGATTTCTTGAGTTAAGAAATACCTGAAAGCAGCGAAGTTTACTTGTATAATTACTCTGCTTTCAGCAGTTTGTCTTCCTTCTATGCACTTCATAGAGTGTGTGTGTATAAATATATATATATATATATATATATATATGTGCGTGGTGCAGCATTTTCCTGCACTTCGTCTCTTCTGAAAAGCAGAATTTTGCTGGAGTAATTCAGAATGGTACAAGATAAGCCGGCATACTAGCTCATAGGCAAAAGGGTAGATACGTTACTTTCATCTTGTTTCTTCTGTTTTTCAGTACTGTTTCTTTTTCTTTTCTAGTTTGCTTTCAGTATTCCTTTTCAATGTATGATCTGCACGTATCACTGCAGTAGGTGGTTGTACATCTTGTCCATTTATAGTCTAAATCCTTATTTCTTATGCTTAAAATTTCTAGGAAGCACTACAGCTTTTTTTTTAGTTTAATTGATACAATTTAGTAGAAAAGATTCCTTTTATTGTTTTAACATCTAGATTTCTGTTGTTTAATCAGTCAGATTTCTCATTTACAGTTTGAGATTGAAATATTAAAACTCTTTTTTCAAATAAAAAGAAGTGCTAATATTTTTCTTTGCTGCCCCAAGATGCAAGTTCCCTAACCCTTCTTTACCCAACACAAAGTAAAACGCGACTTGAGAGACAGCGGACAACATAAGTGGCACCAAATTCTTCTTTCAGAAAGGAGAGCAGGGAAGTTTTATTTATTTTGAAGCTCTGGTTTCAAATAAACTATTTTGACTTTGAAAGTTGGTGTTTGTGTGAACTAAGTCAATTTAATTGCAATCATTAAGGTTGGAAAAGACCACTAAGATCATCTAGTCTAACCACCAACTCACCATCCTGCCCACTGCCCACTAAATAGTGTCACCAAGTGCCACGTGTATGTGTTCCTTGAAAACCTCCAGTGATTCATAGGCTTAGATTCTAAGTCAGCTTCTTCTCATAGTTTACCATACACAGTAAACTGAAATCTGTAGTAATTCAGGATGAACTTTGAATGCAATGCAGCCATTTCTGCTGCTGTCTTGGAAATTCCGCTATGAGTAGCGATGGCAACATATTTGAGCTTGCTGGGGATGGTTGCTGTTCCTAACAAGTTTGTTTATTGCCTTAACAGCCTTAAAGATTTGCTGAGAGCCAAGTTAATTGAATGCGGCTGGAAGGATCAGTTGAAAGCGCATTGCAAAGGTAATGATCAAATAACTGGCATCCTTTGTGGGCAACTGTGGTTGTGGCCAAGTAAAGGTTTTAGATTTAGGCTTTACTGCCTAACAGTGAATTTAAATGATGTTTAGGGAAGGGGAAGCTATCCCTGTTAGTTGGTTTCACATGCAAGAAAGTGTCTTGCCATATTTGGAAAAAAAAAAAAATCTTGAAGCCTTCTTTTGATTTGAAACTTATTAAGCTCCTGATAAAAGTATTGGAATTGGTACCCTAAATATTCATGACCATACAGCTTTTTGTTTAGAGGGAGATGAATTCCGTGCTACAGGTGGATAAAAGCAGGAGAAAGGAAAAGGGAGAATATACAGTAGTACACAACTTAGAAAAGTATGAGAACTGTGTCATCTGTGTACAGGTAAGAAAAGAATATGTTTGTACTAGTTTTGAACAATTATTAAATAAAATAATCTACCTAAATGTGGAAAAACAAGGTGATGAACCATTAAGTACCTAACTTTTAGTTTTCAGAAAACTTTTTCATTACTGCAATTTACTGACTTGTAAACTGTTGTTTTAAAAATAGTATTTAAACCTCCCAAGAGTATTACTAAAATAACATATGCAAATAACGTGTCCATTTAGCATCTGCTTTAATTCTGATTTGGTCTGTTAACCAAATATTTATAGAACTGTGTTTGCTAAATCGCTTGCATAGGTGGATTTGCAAAGAAGGCTAGAAATGATGAATGCCTGATACCACTGCCAGAGATTACCCATTTGTATAGTACAGATAATGAAAGGAATGTTTGTCTGCCTTCTCAACTGTACACTTTATAATCTGCTGTTGTAAAGTTAGTTGAAGTTGTTGGGTTTACATTAGGACTTAGAACTGTAACAGCGTCTGCTGAGAAGGCAAATTAAAGTTCAGTTATCCCTACAAAGAGCATAATAACCTCCAGTAGGAAGGTCAGAGTGTTGGTGTTGGTTGGTTGGTTTTTGTTTTTTTTTTCCTTTGGTTGTTTTTATTGCTGTTAAATCTAGAAAGTCCTGCATGTTGGTCACAACAACCCCAGGCAACATAAAGGCATGGGGAGGAGTGACTGGAAAGCTGCCTGATGGAAAGGGACCGTGGTATACTGATGGGCAGTGGGCTGAATGTGAGCCAGCAGCGTGCCCAGGTGGCTAAGAAGGCCAATGGCATCCTGGCTTGTATCAGAAATGGTGTGGTGAGCAGGACTAGGGAACTCATCCTGTCCCTGTACTTGGCATTGGTGAGGCCTCAGCTCGAGTATGAGTTCAGTTTTGGGCACCTCAATACAGAAAGGACATTGAGGTGCTGGAGCAGGTCCAAAGAAGGGCAACAAGGCTGGTGAAGAATATGCCCTACGAGGAGAGTCTGAAGGAACTGGGGCTGTTTAGTCTGGGGAAAAGGAGGCTGAAGGGAGATGTCATTGCTCTCCTCCAATACCTGAAAGGTGCTTACAGCGTGAGTGGGGTTGGTCTTTTCTCACTGGTGACAGGATGAGGGGAAATGGCCTCAAGTTCTGCCAGGGGAGGCTTAGGTTGGATATCAGGAAACACTTCTTTACAGAAAGGATTGTTAAGCACTGGAATAGGCTCCCCAGGGAGGTGGCTGAGTCACCATCCCTGGGTGTGTTTAAAAACAGTTTGGCTGTGGTGCTCAGGGACATGGTTTAGCAGAGGGTTTTTAGAGTTAGGGTAGTGTGGTTAGGCTGTGGTTGGACTCAATGATCTTTAAGGTCTTTTCCAACCTGAGCAGTTCTATGATTTTATGATAGAACCATAGAATGGCTTGGTTTGAAAGGTACCTTTAAATGTTATCTGGTTCCAGCTCTTCTGCTATGGGCAGGATGTCTTTCACGACATTAAGTTGCTCACAGTCCCTGATCTTGGGCATTTCCTGAGAGGCGGCATCCACAGCCTCTTGCCATTGTGAACAAGGGACAATAATTGAGCAATCCAAGATAAATCTCTACAGGAATTCAACCAAGGAAAATAGTTGACAGATAGTTCACACAATGTCAGTTGAGAAAATGTATTTGATACCTTGGTGACTATGACTCTCCAGTTCTACATACTGATACGTAGTTAAAACGTGCTTTAAACAATATTTATTTTAGGTATATGCTTTTGAATTGAGACGTCTTTTCAGCATTGAGGTTTTTTTTTTTCTCTAGCCTTCTACAGTATAAGTAAATAATTTATTTAAATACCAGTGTGTTAAACATACAGGATATCATAAGCATACCTTTTATTTTGATGCAGATTTATATCTTTCTTTCAGAATTGCTTTTTAACTTTGCTGGAATATATAGAAATATATTGCTTAAAATACTTAAAGTAATTGTAAATAATTACTGCCTCTGGGAAGTAAAAATCTTTTTTCAAATTCCATTTCTTTCTCTTCAGAAACATTACTTACATAGCAATGGGATGAACAGACCACTTGCAAACTAATAAACTTTCTAGTAATCTGCACAACTGATAATGTTCAGATTAAGCTTAAACTTTCTAAAATTTTATTTTAAGCTATGAGCTGACAGATACATCAATAGTGGTAGGTTTCCATTCTTATACCTATGTTATGAATTGGGGATCTAATCCACTGTTCAATGCAGTAGAAAAAGTGAATTAATAACCTAATCTAGGTCAAGAGCTAAAGGCTTCCCTAATGACCTGTGAGTGCGCGCTTTGTGACTTAATCACGCAAGCTTTGTCTTCTAATTAATGAGGTAAGACTTCAAATATGTATTTTGTCTTCCCCAGATGTCATTAAAGAAAAAGGATTAGAGCATGTTACTGTTGATGATTTGGTGGCAGAAATCACTCCCAAAGGTAGAGGTAAGAAAGCACAAAAACAGACATCATAATACATTAATAAATATAACTACCTGTATTGCAAGAATATTTTGAAAGCAGTACTATGAAGCTGCCTATGTTGGATACAAGGAAAAATGTTAATATCTGAATGTTAACTCTGAATAAAACATGTAAGTGTAAGTTAAGTAACAGCTATTCAGCATTTGTAATGAGCTGTGTGTGTGTAAACTACTACAGGTTGTTATTTAGTCATGAGTCTGTATCCATCTTTATGATTGATTTAATGCTCCTGAAAAAACTTTGGGTATGAGGTAGAGTTGTTTCAAAATTCCAGTTCTCTTTTAAATGGAATTTCTGGATTAATGGTACAGGCATGGAGAGAAGTAGAAAGAACAAAGGACAGAGCATATAAATGCAGGACATCCGGAGTCTTAAAATACTGTAGTCTTCTTTATGTAGTTCATGAACTCTCTAAAAAGCTGTGGTGTTAGTGGGAGAAACTTCGTTCGGTCTTAAAAAATAGGTGTTCAAAATGACTTACTGAAGATCCTCGCTCTTACGTCATGGCTGAGATTGTTGCTTTTAATTCTGTGAAAGGAAGAATTATCCAGGATTATCAAACCAGTTTCTGGTCACTATATCCTGTTTACTCTGTTTACTGTTTAATAATTGTTTCCCTAAGACTTTTCCAATTTTCTTGACTGTGGCCAGAAGAAACTTGGTTAATATTAGTGTTTTTTTCCTTGTTTGTTTTTTGCTTCTTGCTTTCTTGTATTTTTCAGCCTTGGTACCAGACAGTGTGAAGAAAGAACTCTTACAAAGAATAAGAACGTTCCTCGCCCAGCATGCCAATCTTTAACTTCGATGGTTGTCTTGGATACAGCATTTATGTTTCTGCATTATGTCAGTCATGTCAGGATTGGAATGCAGTTTCCATGCTTAAGGATTAAAGTTTTGTCTTTTTTTTTTTATGATGAGTTGAAATTTTGTTGCACTGCATCAATTTCTTGGTGTTATTTTAATAAAAAATTCTGTGGACTTGTGTTTCTATGGCTCCTCATCAGTGCACTGTAATAGGGTGACACCTGTTTCAGTTTTCAGCTTCTAGTAGTCCAGTTTTGTACAGTTGTGTAAAGTTAGATTTTTTTTTTTAACAAATGTGTTAACAGGTAATGCAGAAGAGAAAAGAAGTCTGGAAAATCAGCTATGACATGCTGTTGAGCATTTTCTTGCTTATTTTTCTTAAGTATTGGGATAGCATGAAGAAATTCAGGACTGTCTTCTGTAGTACTTCATTGTTGGAGAGTGGTTCAAAGTCTCTGACTTGTGTTGCAAATACTCAGTAACTCATGAGAGGTTTAATGATTCAAACAAAGGCAATTGTATCTCTTGTATGTAATTCTCCTTTTTCTCTTTACTTCAATCAAAAAAGTCATTATCCTGGTATTGTTTTCTAGCTTAGCCAGTATTATTGGTAATTTTTAATTATGTGGGTGTTTTGAAATCTATATGACACAGTAATAATGCAACGTAAGCCTCAAGATTATAAATTTTTAATTATTATATTTGGAACTGCAACATCAGCCCAGACTGTAAATGATGGAAAAAATAAGAGGAGTTGATGAAAAGGAAGTCGGGAAAGTGGCTTTGTAGAAGAATGTTCAGTCTTAGGGAACTTTGATTTGAGATAAATTTCAGTTGATAAGGAAGTGTAAATGACCATAAGGAGAACCTCAACAAGCTACTAACCTGGCTACGAGGAAAAATTAATAGCTGAATGTAATCTAATTGCTCCAAAGTGGAAGAACTCCAAAAGGTATCAGAGTTGTTCAGGTAATTTTGCTTACTCGGCAGGATGGCTGGCTGGAGTGGTTACCCAAGGAGTCCAGGAGGTGGCAGCCGCAGCCTGGGGATTGCTGTGGGCTCTGCTGCATCCTTGTTCAATCACTTCTCGGGAGAAAATAATATGCTCAGTGGGTTTTTGTTTCACATGCTGAGTGTTCGAAGCCAGACAGCTGGGGCAGCAGCTGAACCAGTCCAGTTGGTAGTAAATAGCTGTGATGGAATGGCAGAGGTGTGATGATCGATGCTGGAGTGCAAGTGTATGAAATTACCTGCTTCGGCTGTGAATTAGTGAACAGCAGGGTGTGATGGATCTGCCTGGAATAGTACACCATACAAAGCCGAGTTCTTGCTGAGACTGGAACTCGGCACAAGCCAAGGCCGGGGTCTGCCATGTAACACAGCTGCTGCTTTTTAGGCTCTGGCTGATACTGCTATGAACCATGCCAGTTAAGTTTTTGTCTCTATGCTGCTGAATAGTAGTGGACACTAGAAAGAAGAAAATTCTTTCTTCCACTTAAAGACCCATACACTTATTTTGTAAAATGATTATTTGCAATGAATATGTTCTGTTTGATTTCAAAATCTGAGTGTTTATTCTAAGCTCTTCATTGTAGGTTTAATTTACTCAGTGGTAACTGATAGAAGACAGAATGTTTCTTCACGTAATCCAGCATAATACGTGCTGTTTAAGTGTCTTTAATGCAAGGCAAGGCTGTAACGTATCTTCCACATCCTTCCTCTTTTGTTCTTAGCAGTTTTTCCTGACATTCTTCAATATTTTCCACATGCTTTTAGAAGTCTTTTATTGATGAATGGCTGCAGTGTACCTAGAACTTGCTCCAAAGCAACCACTGATTTCCTTCATTTTACATCTCCAGCAATATGAGAGAGCCAGACTTCATGTGTTCGTATATCACACTGTGTAAGGCTTGCTGTCCAATTAATGAACATTTGAGCTTTCATCTAGAACATGACAGTTCTCTAAATACATCACTAACTTGCTGAAAGTGCTGTGTCATTCTCTTTTATATGCAGTTCATTCTTGGCACACAATAAAGACTGAGCACATGAATTTTCACAAAATTGTGCTAACCAATCTGAGCTTGAAGGCTGAACAAGTAATTATTTCACATAGTTCCAAAAATAAGTTGTAATGTTTTGCCCAGGGCAGCTTGGAATGTAAGAGCATTCAGAGAAAGAGAGAATTCCAGCTGACCAGTCACACATCAGCAGCTTGTCTGCATGGCATGGGCTGTGTCTGATATCAAAACTGAGAACAGCACATTCTGCAGTGAGGTCTGTTCATCAGATCAGTGCAGCCTTTGTACTCTAAGTAAAAAGCATAATTAACTACCTATACAGATCCAAAGAATACTGCTCAGGTATCTTGATAAGTTTCTAAGAATAAGGTTAGGTTTGCATTGCTGTTGGCCAGAGGTTTCTTGAGAAATAAAATGCTCCCCTTAGGGACATCATATTTTTGTTTAACTGTTGGTTTCATTATCAGATGCACAGGGATGGCTTTTTATTTGCATACTGTTGTCTGCACAATCTGTTTCTACTCATTTGGTTGAGGTTTGAAAACAGTTGGTAATATTTAAGATGCAGCCAGAAAAACATTGTCCTTTTATTTTTCTTGCTGTTTTGGGGGTACTTTTTTTTGCACACTGAAAAATAAGATGACCTGTGCTGCTAAAAGTCCCATATCTACAACGTATACAGACAGATGTGTTAACTTATGGTCTGATTTTTGGGTGGCCCTCTGTGAAGCCAGGATCTGGACTCAATGATCCTTACAGGTCCCTTCCAACTCAGGATATTCTATGATTCTAGAAACTTTTTTCCCCCAAAATTTCAGTATGCCTAATGTCATGAAGTGTATCTCTATCTATTCCTTAGAAATGTTTTTGATAGACAGCACCCAGAAATAGCTAAGAATGTGTCAGTTTAAGATTGATGGAAATTATCTCAGCTGTGGGTTTACAGTACTTTTAGCTGACAACCATATAGATAACTCAAACAGCAGAATCAGCTTAGTCTTCTTGCAGACAAGCCTGTAAGAAATAAAATCAGTTTGCATATTGGCACTGAAATAATGGGTTGGATAACAGCCAGAGTAAATTAGTATATCTCTGGCTGTTCACTGGACCAAATTCTATGTGACAGTAATTTGAATAGTCCTCCCAGTGTCAATGGAGGACCAATAGAGAAAAGTTAGTTCATCCTCTCCTTTAGTCAGTCCCTGAGGGGACTGAAACACTCTGTGAAAAAAAGTGAAGCACGCGGTAAACTGAAACGTATTTTAATTTGAATTTGTTTGGTAATTATTTTCCCAAGAAAACTTCTGTGTTGACATGATCTGTTTGAAAGAAGCTATTAATCAGCAATATCACCGAAGAATTGCGCTGAGACATCGAACTTACACTCTCATGCCTTAAAGCCTTATCATTTTGTCACCATGAGTTTTTTCAATTTTTTTTTTCAATATCTATTAAGTTTTTTCCTCATCTTCCTTCTTGTTTACTGCCATAAAATTTACATATGAAATTTTATTTCTTTGAAAAGAAGCATGTGAAAATACTTAAGTGTTATTACTTTTGCTTCTCAATTACGCATCCTAGATGGTCATTTGGACTGATAGCTCTGCACTACTAAGCCTGCGTCCTCATCTTTTCCTTCATATAATTGAATATGTTTAATTTTGGTGATAAAATATGTTCAATTGTAGTGATTGTGGTAGCTTGCAGCTTGGGCTCTGACTTACTTAGTGACTGAGTTTTCACTAGAGAATGAAGAATATCCAATACTTTTACCTGCTGGCTTTCTTTGCAATTGAAATCAGAATTGTGTTCTACTTTGCCTCTTTTTCTCAGCTATTCAGTTTCTGAAAAAACAGCTGTGGCTGGAGAGCCAAACTTGTAATAACTAGAGCCCGAAGTGATGAAAACTTCATTCGTTTCCTCATAAATAATTTATGCTTCACTACTTTAGTATAATGAATAGGTTAATCAGCAGTCTGCTTGGAATGAGAGGATCTAGTCTCACATAAGGGTATTTCACATCTCCTGCAATATTTTCCATTTGAACAGTATTATTCTCAAAATGTTCTTTACATTCGCCTTAAAACTAATCAAATTGTTTAATAACAGATCATTAAAAAAAAAAAAAAAAAAAAAAAAAAAAAAAAAAAAAAGCCCTCTAAGAAATCCCTGATAATTTCTGTTTGCTAGAGTTACTAGCAGAAAGGTTATCCATTCTTTCAATCATTGATCTAGTCAAGTATCAAGCTGCTACTGATAAAATCTGCTGTTGGCACGCCAGCCAGTGAGCACTGATGAGGGCAGAGCACCCTGTCCTGTTCTGTCAGCTGGCTCTGTTCAAGCCTCCGTGTACAAATTCAGCTCTCTCCTTCTGGAAGAGCTGGTTTTGTTCAGTTACTCAAACTTTCTGGAAGTTCAGTACTGGAAGTTCAGTAGTGATCCCTGGAGCAGCCAGCAGCAGCTCAGTTTCTTTCAGCTGAAGATCAAAAACCAGATTATATATACACTCTGTCTTTGCACTTATTCACCACTGCAAAATACACTGAGGTATCCCCAAAAATTTTAAGTTCAGAGCAGTTCACTGACTTGTATAAATGTATTCCACTTTTTACACCTTTGGTCTGGAAAAGCTGAGCAGCACTTTAAATGTGATTTTCTAGCACTTCTGAGGATCAAACTTTTAATGAATTCTAATGATGCAGTTTCCACAAAGAGAAATGCTGCTTTAGTTAAATGCAAGCAGAATTTATTAGTCCCATTACAGTTATGATTTGGTAGAATATCAAACCCCAGGAATCTACAGTAGAAATGTCAGTAGCGGTTACCAACTGTAATATCTCTTTGTTAACTTAGTTCAAAATATCCTCACATCTAGTTAACCTGTTTCATAATTTCTTCACGTGCATTTTATTCTGAGATAAGTTTCTGCACAAATCCTGGATCAGACTTCTAATATTTGAGTATTTCAGATTAGATTTCAAAATACCTGTTGACATTTTTTTCACAAGAGGGTATTTCAGCAAATAGCCAATGGGTAGAAAGAGACCTGCTCTCCCTCTGTTGAGCAAAGATCAGAAAGAATATTATCTATGTCTACTTTTTACCTGTTGACATGGTAAAGGTGGCTTAAAATGCTTCCTCACTGCCATGAAA